AATTATAAACCCAAGAAAGCCTAACAAAAATTCGAACAGGATTTTTTAAAACTTGACAAGCTATTTATGAAATTTATAAAAAGAGAAAATGTACCAGAATCATTTCAAAAGAATTTTTTTGGAAAAAAAATACAAATATATATGACTAGATATAAGAACAAAGCTGTAGCACGTCACACAGGGTGGTACTGGCATAAGAAGAGAGAAAACAGGGGCGCCTGGGTGGCTCAGTGGGTTAAGCCGCTGCCTTCGGCTCAGGTCATGATCTCAGGTTCCTGGGATTGAGCCCCACATCGGGCTCTCTGCTCAGCCGGGATCCTGCTTCTCTGCCTACTTGTGATCTCTCTCTGCCAAATAAATAAATAAAATCTTTAAAAAAAAAAAAAAAGAAGAAGAAGAAGAAGAGAGAAAACAGATCCATGGAACAGAAGAGAGTCCTGAAATAGACTCGTGTATGAATAGGACCTTATTTTACTATAAAAACAGAATTTCAAGTGAGTTGGAAAAAAGACAAATACTTAAAGAAATGGTGTCGGGTGAGCTGCCTAAAATTGTAGAAAGAAATTAAGTTATATCCTTACTTCTTACTTCATACAAAAATCTGGTATTACAAAGAGCTAACTGTACATATCAAAATAATTCAAGTTTTAGAAGAAAATAAGATAATTTAAAAAATAATTTTTCGGTGAAAAAGATCTCCCCAAGCCGGACGAAGCACAAAAATCAAGACTGCAGGGGTGCCTAGGTGGTTCAGTCAGTTAAGCGACCGATTCTTGGTTTCGGTTCAGGTCACGATCTCAGGGTCATGAGATCGAGCCCCATGGAGGGCTCTGAGCTCAGCACAGCATCTGACTTGAGATTCTCCCCTTCCCCCTCTGCCCCTCCCACTGCTCGCTCTAGCTCTCTCTCTCTCTCTCTCAAAGAAAAACAAAGAAATAAAACCTTTAAAAAAATAAGATTGCAGAGTTGATTACACAAATATTTATAACATCCATGAAGCAGAAGATAGTTAAAACGAAAACATTATGAATGGATAAGCAAAATATGTATATGCAAACCATGAAATATTATTCATTCTCGAAAAGGAAAAATGTTGACACCTGCCACAACATGGAAGGTCTTAAGGACATGTTGTTAAGTGAAACAGGTCAGTCACAAAAAGACAAGTGCTCTATGATTCCACCATGCATATGAGGCACCTGGAGTAGTCAAGTTCACAGAGCCGGAAAGCAGAATGCTAGTTGGCAGGGGTTCGGGAGAATGGGCCCAGAGTGTCAGTTTTGCAAGATGGAAAGAGTTCTAGAGATGAATGCTGGCAACGGTTGCCCAGTACGGAGTGTATTTAATAACACTGACCTGTGCACTTAAAAATGATTAAGATGGCAAATTTTATATTATGTATTTTACCACAAAAAAAAAATAGTGGGGGAAAAAAGAGCATCGCAGCAGAAGAAATATTTAAATCATCTATAACAGACAAAGAATTAAGATCCTGACTCGGTACAGAGCATCTGCAGTAAACAGGAATCGGAAAAGGCAACTCAATAGAAAAATGAGCAAAAGACAGGAACAAGTAGTTAACAGAAGACATTGCATGACCCATAAACATTAAGAGACATTAAACTGCAGTAGTAATCAGTAAAATGCAAATTAAAATGCCATATTGGGTTTCAGATTTGAAAATCTAAATAAAAAAAAAAGATAATGGCTGATGGTAGGAAAGATGACGGAAACAGAATCTCATGCAGATTTTAAATTAGTACCTGGGGTGGGGCAGTGCTATCATTTAAAGGACTGTGTCTATCAAGTGGAAACATGAATGAACCCTTTGACCCTAGAACTCTATTGAATAGAAATATTCAGGCTGACACACAAAGACGAATGCACCGTCTTTCCTGAAGTACTGTTGCTAATGCTGACTAATTTTAAACCATCCAAATGTCCACTAATATGAGAAAAATGGATGAATTATATCTCTAATTTAGAATAACATGTAGCCTTTAGCAAAAGTGATTTGTACTGCCATGGGAAAATCTCTAGGACTTGGAAAATGAAAAAGTAAGCTGCATAATGTATAGTAAGATCTCATTTACATATATGAAGATATATGTATAAACACATTATTATGCAAATGCATAGAAAACAAAATAAAATCTCAGAATGGTATTTACCAAACTTCATCTTCCCACTTCTGAGTGGGAGTAGGAGTTCTACATGGTAGTTCTACATTTCATTCCATATACTTCTCTATTTTTTGAATGAGAACATACTTAGTTATTACTTGTATTATTTTTAAAACATAAAAATGAAATTTTGACAACCTGGAATAAATAAATGCTGAAAAACCTGTACGGCTGACTCCTGAACAATGTGGGTTTAAACTGAACAGGTCCACTTATACACAGATTTTTTTTCAATAAATACAATACGGAGTTATAAGTGTATTTTCTCTTCCTTATGATGCTCTTAATAACATCTCTCCTTCTCTAGCTTACTTCATAGAAAACACAGAGTATATCATGCATGTAACATACAAGATACACTCATCAGCCATGTTATCAGTAAGGCTTCTGGTCAACAATAGGCTACTAGTAGTTAAGTTTTGGGGAGACCAAATTTACATGCAGATTTTTGGGCACCCCTAGACCCCGCATTGCTCCAGGGCCAACTGCAGAAACTAAAATGAAAAGGGAAGGAAGGTTGTGAAGCCCAGAACACAGTTGCTGGGAAAAAAACACTCATTTTATGAGCATTTGTAACTACAAAGAAGCCTGCTGGGAGCAATACTGTTTGTGTTTTATTTTTTCCCCATTTAATTTTTTTTTCTTTCTTTCTTTTTTTTTTTTTTTTTTTAAATCGAGAAGGGCTTCCCTCTTCAGGGAAAGGAGTGCCAGGTCTCACTGTTCTGTAAGTGAGCAAGATGACACTTGCTCAGATTTTTTTCTACGGGAGATAACAACGCCCCAGCCCAGTTCCCACAAGGAAAACATACTCCTTCCTCTTGTGGAAACTATTACCACTGATCTCTCTTTCAAAACCATAGTAGCTTTCCTGACTTGGTTCCTTTTTCAGGACAAAAGGGTTACAAGGAATATCAGAGAGTCTGGAACACCTCCACGAACCTCTGTAGGTGCTCCTGGTCTTCCAGGTTAAAGAAAGGGGTAGAAGGAGAGACCCAGTGTGCAAAAAGTATTCTGCCCCATATGGCCAGAGTCCTGTTGGACACTATCAAACTGACCTTTGATACAAAATGCTCAGACACATTTGTGGGGCCAACAAGAGGCAGAACTGGGACCAAGATGTAATTTACCAGGAGGCAAGTTACAGCTGAGAATTCACTTTGTCCAGCAATCAAATATTAGGTGGTGAGCTCCCCGTCACTATTGGCATCTAATACTTCTGAATGCTACCAGGGCAGACACAACCTGAGCATAACCTGAAGATTCTAAATAGGTAAGTGGGATTCCAGGGCTTTAAAAAGACCCAAGATTGATTCTGAGGCTCAGCTCAGTCTGGAGCCCTTCAGCCTCAAAGGTGTCTGACACAAAAGGTGTCCTTTTAAAGCAGCCCAGGAAAGAGACAAAGAAGAGCAGTAAGGAAGCACCACAACCAGGACCACTCCAAAGAGGGTCCGAGAGTTGGAAGGCACACCGTAGTGCTTATAAGCAGCGGCCAAAGCCAATTCCTGACTCTCACCTGTTCGCTGTGTGACCCCAGACAAGTTACTGAACTTCTCTAGGCCTTGGTGTCCTCACTGATAAAAAGAGAATGACAAAACTACTACCTAGCTCATTGGTGAAACTTAAGGGAGCTGGCATACGTAGAGTGCCTAGCACGGTGCCTGATCCACAGTAAGTACGAACCACCATTATTCTGCACGGGAGAAACCCGAGGCTGATCGGATGAGTAACTCCAGCCCAGTCCCACAGTCAGCATTAGACTTGGGCATACGACCCAAGCTTCTTTCCCTCCAGCTCACATCAAATATACTACACTCACGTGGATCCGATCCCCTACAGTGGACCCCTCTGGAGTCAGAGAATAAGCTTTTTCGCACGCAAAGTGTCTTCGAGCCTGCCTGTCCTCCGTGGCACCCAAGAGCGTGCCTGCCACCACTGGGCAGGCAGGCGGCCGCACGCAAGCAGGCACGGACCGGCTGAGGAAGTGCCCGCCCGGGACCAGCAAGAAGGGACCCCCGGTGTCAGCGCCAGTGCCCCAGGGCTACGAGGAGTTTTCGGAGTCACCGCGGCCCGCTCTATGGTCTTGGACAAGTTCCTGAACCCCTCTCCGCGGGCGAGGGGTGGAGCGCTGGCATTTCCAAGCCCGCCGCTGCTCAACCTGCCAGCTCGGTGGCCCCTCCATTCACGTGGCGGAGGAGGCCAGGCGCCCGCCCGCGCACCGCGCCCCCGGGATCTCCGCGCGCCGCCGGGTGTGAGCACCGCCCACTCCCAGGTGTAAACACAGCCGGGGAGGAGGGGCATCGCCGACCGCGCGGAGAAGAGGGAATGTTCGGGGGGAGCTCGGGGGGCGCGGGGGTGGTTGGGGACAATGAACTCCCGGGGCGATGTGTTGGGAGAGACGCGAAAGTGGGTTGCTTGGGGATTTTAACTCAATAAACATCCCCGACTACTGAGAAAGAAGTGACGGGACCGTGAACTTCCAGCAGGGGGGAGACGCCGCGGGGGCGCCGGCAGCGTGCGCTCGGGAGAGAAGGACACACGCAGCAGCCGGGCGGGCGGGCCAGAGGAGGGGACCCCTCCGAGCACCGTCCCGGAGCAGGTCGAAGCGCCAGCCGAAGCCGACGCGGGGCAGGGGCGACGCCGGACAGGGCGGGCTGGCGGCCGCGACTGGGTCGCGGCCGGCCGGGCAGACACCGGGAAGGGGCTGCGAAGCTGTCGGGTCCGCCGGGCGCCGCGCCGGGGCCGCCCGCGGGAAAAGCTGGCGGGGCGCGGGGAAGGCTGCCGCGGGGCGCGGAGAGAGCGGGCGGCGGGGGTACTCACCCCGCGCGGGCGGAGGGCTCCGCGGGCCGGGCCGGGTCCTGGGCGGCGCGGGGCCGCGGGTGCGGACGCCGGTATGGACGTGCAGGGGCGGCCCCGCGCCCGGGCTATGAATCAGCTGCGGGGCGAGCGCCGAGGGGCGGGAATTACGGGAAAACCGCGGGGGAGGGCAGAGGGCTGAGAACTTTTGCAATTTCCCGTCCTGCTGCGCACTCTTGGCACTACTGGGACCCACAGGAATTCTTCCCCTTTGGGTCCCGGGGGAAGCGGCTGGGACCCTGCGGGAGGCGGGCGAGACCCCGCGGAGGTGCGGTCCGGGGCTTGGCGGGCGGCCGGCGGGGAGTGGTGGGAAAGGAAGTGGGAGAGGCCTGGAAAGAAGTGGAACCGAAGTCTCTGTGGGGCCCGGAGAGGCATCGCGCGCAGGCCTCTCTGGCCAGGGCCAGCGGGCCCTGCGGCGGCGGGACGCTGAGAGCAGCCGAGGGACCCAGGAGCCGGGGCGACCACGTGCGGCCACTTCTTACTCCAAGCGAGATACAGAACCCTGGGGTCCCGGCAGAAAATCTTCAGGCAGAAGGCAAGAGCTCCAACCAAACTGTGTGTCCATTAGGCGCCCAGAGCGATTAAAAAAAAAAAAAAAAATGTGTTTGGACAGTTCTAGGAACCTGATTGTCCTCTCTATCTCGAAACGCCTCCGATCAAGTTTCATCCAGAGCCACAGTCCTAAAGCCTTTGTTTCCCAAAAGAGCCGTGTATATTACAACTTGCTTTTCCTCTTAAAAATGCCATCCAGTCTTTGAAACGCGTATTTTAAATACAGGGCCTTTGAAGTACCTGTTGACGCCTCTTTCATAATTATGTGTTGGACTATGGCGAGCCCTGTGAACTTGAGCTGGAATGGAGACCATCCTAGTATTGCCCTGTTGGGGGAGGTCATGGAAGGGACATGACCTCCACTTGACCCTTGAGCTGCACCTGGACAACCCGAGGCTCCTTGCCCCTTCCCCTGTTCTTGGAAAGTGGGTTCTGCTTGCCAGTTGGGCAGCCAGGAGCTGCTCCATGCACACGCCCTTGAGGTAGTGAGGCCAGAACACCTACAGGATATACCTGACCAGACCTGGTTCAGGCCTCTGCATCAGCTTGTAAGGTTTGGCTGAGGGATGCCAGGATCCGTTCATCTTGTTGGCACTCCAGATGAGCCTCCTGCCTAAGTTCCCTTTGCTTATAAGATCTGCATCTACCACCGGGGAGGGGCCAGTGTCTCTCTTTGGTCGCTGCCTGCCCTCCAAGTACTGGCCAGTTTCAGACTGCAGGTGGGAAGCTCCCGGGAGGGGGGTGGTTCACCATGCTTCTGTGGCCTGCTGGGACCCGGAGAAGAGAGCAGTGTGTTCTAGTGTCTGGAGGACTGGGGTGGCTGATGGAGGATTGTTCATGGAGCTTTGCTAGACCTGTTCTGGTCCAGTCTGGGGACCTGGGCAGGATCATGAATGCCAAGCACTGTAGGAGAGGAAGGAACCCAGGAGTGATTAAGAAGGATTGCTCATGATGAATCCTATCTTAGGATCACTTCTGGAATTGACCCAATGGCTCAAAATATGTCAGAATCAGCCCAAACGTTACTTCTGGGTTGTGCAGTTTTTGCTCCTCCCAGTGTCCCCCCCAAGGAGAGAGTTTTGTTTTAGTCTTTGATACATTTACTACCTAATGGTGCCACAAAGACCAGGGTGCAGCGTAAATATTTGATGAAAATGAAGAGAAGGTACTTTTGTCTAAACAAACATGTGGTCCTTTGCCACACCTCATTACTTCCAGAGTTTTAAAGTGTCCATTAGTTTAGTCATCTGCTCAGCTATGGAAACTACTTGACCAGATCCCAAAGGGTTGGAAAAGCTTTCTGAGTCTATATTTTAGTGAGTGGAAAAAAAAAAAAAAAACAACAACAACTTTAATTTCTTCTTTATAGGAAGAGTTCTGAGGGATGTCTCTTAGGGCAGATGTGATGCCAAATTAAAAAATATTGAGTGTGAAGAATTTCTGCAACCCGAGTCTAAACTTACTTTGAGCTCCTCCTACAAAGGAAGGAAACTAAGCTGCAAAAAATTCCAGGCTGTTGGTTTTAATCTTGGGCCAGTGCCCTGCTATGAATTTCAAAACTGACCCCATACTGGAAGGGAAGGCAAGGCCAAAGAAAGAGGCAGACCACTCCAGCTTAGTACCCGTAGGGTTTAATAAGGGAGTTCACATACGAGGCTTGTCTTGGGCCGCTGCAAGGTGAGTAGATCTCTGCATCCGCCCGCCAGAGTCTTAAGAGTTTATGTAGAAGCCTTACTGGGTTCAGTCCGTGTAGAGTCCTAATGGTCTCAGTAACACGTTACTCTCGTAAGGCAGAGTCCTTGCAGGGTCTTCCCGTGGGCAGAATTTACATCCAAGGACAGAGAAGGCGGTAAGGAGCCTCTGCTTCCCCAGGTCCGGTCCATAAGTCAACGGGAGGTCATGTCCTCTCAATGACCTCCTGCAGCAGGTGCCCACATAAAATTCCTTTATTTTGTGTACCATTCTAATAACTTAAATGTATCCCTCTTTCTAGAGTCTAGTAGCTATAGTATCTGTAAATTTGTGATTCTACTAGTTGAATAGTATCCTCCAAAAATTCATGTTGGGCCAGAACCTCAGAATATGACCCTATTTGGAAATGTGTCTGTAGATTTAATTAAGGGAAGATGAGGTCCTACCGTATTAATCCAATGATTGGTGTCCTTATAGGAAGAGGGAAATATGGACGCACACACGTGGGAAGAATGCCATCTGAATACTGAGGCAGAGATTGGAGTTCCCTTGTCTCAAGCCAAAGAATGCCAAGAACTGCTGGCCATTCGCAAAAGCCAGGAGAAAGTTATAGAACAGTCTCCCTCTGAGCCCCTACTGTTGCAGCATCACAGGGTTCTCGTCGGAGTCGAAGAATGAACCTTGCAGACACAAAAGGGTGACGTGAACGTTTATTAAGCGAAGGTGAGAACAGAAAGGAAGGAAAAAAACGCTTTCTGGAGTGAGAGGGGTCCTGAGTGGGTTGCCACTGTGGGCTTTTACTGACGGTCTTTTATTGACAACTGACTAGGAAGCTTGTGGCCGTGAGATTCTTCTTGTGCCTTCTTTCTTTGAGCAAAACTATTGATAATATCCCTAATGGCTTACTTTTTCTTTGGGGTCTGGTCATTTTCTGTGGTTAAAATGTAGTTGCAAAAAAACAAAAAACCCTGCTAACATCCAGGGCTGGCTGGTCTGGTTTGTTCCCTTAGCGCTCTCTCTCTCTCTCTCTCTCTCTCTTTTTAAATATATTTTTAAATGATACTCTTTATTTATTTGACAGAGAAAGTGCATGAGCAGCAGGAGAGGCAGGAGGAGAGTCTGGGGAGAGGCAGAAGCAGGGAGCGGGGAGCCTGACACTGGGATCAATCTCAAAACCCCAAGATGGAGATTGTGAACTGAGCCAAAGACCCTTAAACCATCCTATTTGCTTATCTCTTCTTCTGCTCTGTCTGAGCCAGGAATAGTTTCAGAGCCTAGTCAGGGGCCTCCTGTCTCTCCCTGCCTGTGCTTTAACCCTTTCCTTACTCACTAAAAAGGAACTCACCTTGCCAACCCCTTGATTTCAGACTTCTGGGCTCTAGAACTATGAGAGAACAAAGTATTTTAATTTGTGGTAATTTGTTATAGCAGGCCTAGCAAGCTGATACATAAGCATGCATGACATACGTGTTCTGAAGGTTAGTATTAAAAATTAGCCCGAAAATAACTGAAATGAAAAAGATAAAAATACCAAAGGCATTAAGCTAAGAGCTGAAATACCATTCCTTGTTTAGCGTCCACAAGATTATGCTGGGAAAATACATATTCATTCTCCATCTGCCCTCCTGCCCACTCTTCTCTCTTCCTGTTGAATTCAGTAGCACAACTCTCTCCACTTCCCCGCTCTCCCTGATTTTCTTCCCCATCACCTTCTTGGTCTTCTTGTTCTCCTTTAGACATTGTTGTGTCCGGGGCTCCATCCTTGACATTCTTCTCTGATCCCCAGTCTCCCAAGTGAATGCATCCATGCTCCTGAATTCAATGATCACTTGTGCACTGATGACCCCAAATCTTTGATTGCAATTATTTCATCTGAATTCCAGGCCACTTTATTTGTACATCAAAATCAATATGCCCAAGTTCAAACTCTTCACTTATCCCCACATGATTCTGTTAGATTAAGTGAATGGCCAAGACTGTAGACACTAAGTCAAAAGACTTGGGAAATGATCCTCGTCATCTATCATCCACCAGAAGGTCTCATTTGTGTAACAATTATAAAGGCATGAGTGGGATGTATCCTTATCCTAGCCAACTCCTTAGAGGAAAAACAGTTCCGTAATTATCAGGGACACTAGCTTAGATCTGGGTATGGGTATAGATATACATAGAGATATATGAAATCAGTTATGTAAATTGTGAGATATAATCATGATTCTCTTTTTTCAACTACTACAAATATCTAAAATTACATATTTGGCAGTGTTTGTAACCACACTGATGGAGCTGGAAGAAGCTGGGAGTTTTCTGAAGCAAGTGGTGTCATCAGGTAAGTAGGAGATGCTGATCTGTAATTGGCCTTGTGGATAAGAATTATCTATTTGGGAGACAATATATCACACACCCCATTTGCTATTTTAAAGATTCACTTTTAGGTCTTAAAGTATGCCTAAAGTATGTGATGCCACTGCTTGAAGTATGATTGTGGGCGATACCAGCATTATTTCTAAGAAAACTCAGTGGAGATGAAAATGATGTTATGTGCATGTATTCTTGTGAAAAACTAAGTAGGCCTTCAGAAAAATTTTTAGTCTGATATATCATAAAGCTTGGTTAGTTAAGAGATAGCTGTCACTTCCAACTATATAGATATAAAATTTTGCCAGCAATGATGAAGCAAGATGTTGAGTGTTGGAATCACATGGAATGTTTATATTTTGTAATTTCAGGTAATTCTTTATTGTTACTTAATTATGAATTGCATTCCTTTCGATACCTGTGAAATGAATTTCAGTGAAGGATAATATTATCCTTAATAGTTCTAAAAGTTTTTTTTGAACTAAATACTACTTGAAGATTGATTGTTGGATTAATTGATCGATTTTACACAATCTGTTCTCTCCTAGATATTGTAATTATGTTC